GTGTCTGCTTACTAAAGCAAGATTTATGACATACTCATCATATTTCATTTATTCCCCACCTGCTAAAACAAGGGCTGTCTTAGAAAATGTTAATGTGTTTACCCAGCTAGGATTTTTTTGTTCTAAAAATGTTCTGAGAACATTACCATGCAGTGTTCTAATAATGTTTTCAGCGGGTAGTTTTCTTTTGGTTCCTAAAATGTTCTCTTAAAAGTTCTAATAACATTCTCTAAAAACATTCTAAATATGTTAAATGCTAACATTGTTAGAACATTATTTCCTGACGTTCTTATAACATTTTCAGCGGGTAGTTTTCTTTTTGTTCCCAGAATGTTCTCTTAAAAGTTCTAATAACATTGTCTAAAAACATTTTAAATATGTTTATTGCTAACATTGTTAGAACATTATTCCCTAATGTTTTTATAACATTTTCAGCGGGTAGTTTTTTTTTGGTTCCTAAAATGTTCTCTTAAAAGTTCTAATAACATTGTCTAAAAACATTTTAAATATGTTTATTGCTAACATTGTTAGAACATTATTCCCTAATGTTTTTATAACATTTTCAGCGGGTAGTTTTTTTTTGGTTCCTAAAATGTTCTCTTAAAAGTTCTAATAACATTCTCTAAAAACATTCTAAATATGTTAAATGCTAACATTGTTAGAAAATTATTCCCTGACGTTCTTATATCATTTTCAGCGGGTAGTTTTCTTTTTGTTCCCAGAATGTTCTCTTAAAAGATGGCATAACATTCGCTAAGAACACTCTGAAAATGTTTTGTGATGACCTTCTATAAAGGTTTAATCATAACATTTTTAAAACATTATCCCCTAACTTTCTTATAAAGTTTTTAGCGGAAGTTTATTTTTGTTCCCAAAATGTTCTCTTAAAACCCCTCAAAAATGATTAGCTATAACATTGTTAAAGCATAACATTTTTTTAATCTCAAAACTAAAACATCAAAATCTAACAGGTTTAAATGGCATCCACATAAATTATTAGAAGTTCTGCGTACAGTAAATGCCCAACATTACATGAAGAACTCAGTAAAGTCACTCATGCGTCTTGACTGCGGTGTTTGCTCAGAGCACTCATCATCAGTCTTTGCTTGTTTTGGTTCTTGCAGAAAAATAATCCAGGAATCTGTATTAATAATAGTGTTCTACTATTCTCTCTTCTAGTTGTCCAGCTGCTCCCCCAGTTAGCATTGAGCTCTGTTCTCTGTGTGCACAGTAGAGTTTTTCCTCATAGCCTAAAAAAGAAGATCATGCAAAAGTGTAAACATAAAGAATACACATACATTAAGATCACAAGCAATATTGACATTGAAAACTTTCGAAATTAGCCAGCCTAATTAGCAGTCAGAAATTATGTAAAGACTAATTTATTGAAAGTATAAATATGATAAATTATGAGTATCTTTTTTGTTTCTGTAATTTAAAACATACTTAATCCATGTATCCAATATCTTAATACAATAAAGTTTTAAAAATGGATATTTTTCTTACACAAATGCTTCGCTTTAAAAGGGCTTTATAACCCCGCCAGAGTCATGTGGTGGATTACTTTTATCATGGATGGATGCGCCTTGATAGACGGCCATTCACTGCCATTCTAAAAGTCAGAAGAGTCAGGACATTTTTTTTAAATATAACTCAGATAGTATTCATCTGAAAGAAGAATGTTATATAAACCTGAAGCCTTGAGAAACGCTCTTTCCAATTCATTAACGTTAACCTCTAACGTTATATGAATTACTGAATTATTATTAACTTTTACTTTCAAAAGACATTAAGATCACTTTTAAGTAAAAATACAGTATTCGTATGCATAGAACACATACCGGCATTATAGTAGGCTACCTTGGTTGTAAATGGAGACTTTATTGTGTCATCGGTAAGTTAATCATCTTGAAACAGTCCGTTTGGAGTCTGCATTAAAACAAATCTAGCTAGCTGTTATTCAAAAGTAGCATACACTCAGATTTAATGCGACTGTCATACAATTCTAAGAAAGTAGAAAGTTAGGTCTAATACTGAAAGACATCAAGGATAAGAGAAAGCTATGTAAACTGAAAAAATACACACAAAAACTTACAGTTGTGAAAGAGTTCCGTTGACCAGGAGTTCTGCTGTTTTGGGCCAATGTGTCGCCAATTTAGACAACGGACATTCTGCGCCGATTTCTTCAACAGAAACGTTGCTTTATTTGCGCTGTTTGTCGAGTTCAAATGTTCTTACGTCATGGGAACATCGCGCTGTGATTGGTGGTTTTAAACGTCGATCTACAGCGACCTCCAATCAGCTTCTCATCTCTTGTAAACGCATTTGTCGCAACAGTTCAGTTCAGAGTAGCCTAATATATCCTCAAAACACTTTACCGTATGCTGTTTTGACAATGTTCCTCTTTCATTATGGAAAATTATGCCATTATTCTATAGGTTAAAATAATTCTACAATCTGTTACCTAAACAGCTTCCTTAAAATATCCTTACAATTTTATGAGCTTTTGTTAACATATATTATGAGATTTTGTCATCTCAGGTAAATGTCCTCAAAACATTTGATGAATGTTGCTTTGATAATGTTCCTCCTTTGTTATTGTGCCAATGATTTATAAAAGATAACAACATTTCGACAAAAAATCCTCAAAATGTATCATGCAAAATGTTTGTTAAAAAGTCAATTTAAAGGAATGTTTTATTAAAAACATTTTATCATCTCAGGACTAAATAATATCCTCAAAACATTTTGCGAACGTTAATTTGATTATGTTCTTCCTCTGTTATTATGGTAGGCCTACATTCAATATTTTATGAAAGATCATTCTATAAACTTTTACCTCATCAACATCCTCAAAATGTTACATTTAAAACATTCTAGTTTTGTTAACACGTCACATTACAAGAATGTTTTATAAAAACATTCCATCATCTCAGGCCTCAATGATATCCTCAAAACATTTTTCGAACGTTGATTTGATAATGTTCCTCCTCTGTTATTATGGAACATTGTTTCAGTGTTTTATTGAGAACGTTAAAATATCTGTTATCTCAACAACATTCCCAAAACATCCTTAACATGTTACAGTGTTAATGTTTAAACACGTCACATTACAAACATTTTATCAAAAAACATTCCATCATATCAGGCCTCAATGATATCCTCATAACATTTTGCGAACGTTGATTTGATAATGTTCCTCCTCTGTTTTTATGGGACATTGTACCAATGTTTTATTGAGAACATTGTAATATCTGTTATCTCAACAACATTCCGAAAACATCCTCAACATGTTACAGAAAATGTTCTAGTTTTGTTAACACGTCACATTACAAGAACATTTTATAAAAACATTCCATCATCTCAGGACTAAATAATATCCTCAGAACATTTTACGAACGTTGATTTGATAATGTTATTCCTATGTTTTTATGGGACATTGTTTCAATGTTTTATAAAAGATCATTCTACAAACCTTTACCTCATCAACATCCTCAAAATGTTAAATTTAAAACGTTCTAGTTTTGTTAAACACGTCACATTACAAGAACATTTTATAAAAAAACATTCCATCAACTCAGGCCTCAATGATATCCTCATAACATTTTGCGAAAGTTGATTTGATAATGTTATTCCTATGTTTTTATGGGACATTGTACCAATGTTTTATTGAGAACATTGTAATGTCTGTTATCTCAACAACATTCCGAAAACATCCTCAACATGTTACAGTGAAAATGTTCTAGTTTTGTTAACAAGTCACATTACAAGAACATTTTATAAAAAACATTCCGTCATCTCAGGACTAAATAATATCCTCAAAACATTTTGCGAACGTTAATTTGATTATGTTCCTCCTCTGTTATTATGGGACATTGTTTCAATGTTTTATAAAAGATCATTCTACAAACCTTTACCTCATCAACATCCTCAAAATGTTAAATTTAAAATGTTCTAGTTTTGTTAAACACGTCACATTACAAGAACGTTTTATAAAAAACATTCCATCATCTCAGGCCTCAATGATATCCTCATAACATTTGCGAACGTTGATTTGATAATGTTATTCCTATGTTTTTATGGGACATTGTACCAATGTTTTATTGAGAACATTGTAATATCTGTTATCTCAACAACATTCCGAAAACATCCTCAACATGTTACAGTAAAAATGTTCTAGTTTTGTTAACATGTCACATTACAAGAACATTTTATAAAAAAAATTCCGTCATCTCAGGACTAAATAGTATCCTCAAAACATTTTGCGAACGTTAACCTGATAATGTTCCTCCTCTGTTATTATGGAACATTGTTTCGATGTTCTATAAGAGATCATTCTACAAACCTTTACCTCATTAACATCCTCAAAATGTTAAATTTAAAACGTTCTAGTTTTCTTAACACATCGCATTACAAGAACATTTTATAAAAAACATTCAGTCATCTCAAGCCTCAATGATATCCTCATAACATTTTGCGAGCGTTGATTTGATAATGTTCCTCCTTTGTTTTTATGGGACATTGTACCAATGTTTTATTGATAACATTCTAATATCTGTTATCTCAACAACATTCCGAAAACATCCTCAACATGTTACAGTGAAAATGTTCTAGTTTTGTTAACAAGTCACATTACAAGAACATTTTATAAAAACATTCCATCATCTCAGGACTAAATAATATCCTCAAAACATTTTGCGAATGTTGATTTGATAATGTTCCTCCTCTGTTATTATGAGATAATGTGCTAATGTTTTATTGAGAACATTGTTTAATCTGTTATCTCAGCAACATTCCCAAAACATCCTCAAAATGTTACAGTGAAAATGTTATATCTTAGTTTACATTTAACCTTATAGGAACATTATTTGAAATGAGAAAACATCCTTAAAACATTCTTAAAACATTGCATTCAAATGTTTTATTTAAAACATTAACCAAACCTCTAGGGAATGTTAGCCAAAGTTCTAAGAACGTTCCCTGTTAGCTGAGTATAAACATTGATATATAAACGTGTAAAAATACATGTGGTGTGATTTGACTGTATTGTAAACAGCTCTGCTAAATTACAGAGCTGATTGAAACATATCCCAATGGCTGTGATCGGACGCTTTCTCACTGTGTTTTCAGTCCCTGAGTGGACTGAGCTGCAACCCCCACTACCTGCAGGACATTAGCATCTCTATGGAGAACGGCTTCAAAGGCCAGGCTGTGAAAGTTTACCTTAGACCTAAAAATACACATGCTTAAACAAGTCATCCTATACTTAAAACACTCTGAGGACTCTGCATGTATTTTTTTAGAGATTCAACAAGAGGAACTATTAATATGAGCTTTCGTTTCAGATGTGGTATAAAGGTTTAGTTAAACCAACAAAAATATGAATGCCCATGGTAATCTGCTACATCCCTATAACATCATTTGATTTATAAATGAGCAGATTTTTTATTTATTTATTTTTTTACATTGTGGTAAATTACTTTTTTCTGTCTTTTAAAATATTTTAAATAGTAAATTAATTGTATATCGCCTACTTTCTTTAAATGCTGCACCATCCCATAGTTTGATATTATTTTTGAACTTTTCCTTTATTAACTTTATCATGTTTTATCTGCCATTGATATAGGTTTGTGTTCTGTGCTCTATTTAAAATGCATGCAAAATAATACTAATTATGAAAAGTACTTTTTCCTGATCCAGTTGATGTTTACAACTGGATTTAAAACTAATTTACCAACAGATTCTACCCTTATGTTAATCTAGCTATTTGATTTCAATCACAAAACATTAGCATAACAGAACCAATAGTAATGTTGGCTAACTGTGGTTTATCCGATGGCCCAATCACTGCTCCGATAGCAGAACGTATATCTCTCTATTCCAGGTTCCTAATTCACACTTCATGTTTGGCATTTGGAAGAGCACAACTTTAGAAGACTTCAACGAGATTGTTTCCTACATTGGAGAGTTATCTTTCTATTATAGTTTAAAGATTTATCTACCTACAAGATCCCAAGATCCTAAGCGCACTGAGCCATTTCTCATCTCACTTTTTTTCTTTCCGAAGTAAAAGGTAAGTTGTACATTCTAACTTCATTTTATGATGATTTGTAAATGCTAACATTATACAATGTTTTTGCATCCTCTTACAATGTAAATGTGCATGCAGATTGGTATTATTGATATTCAGTTTCTTTTTAAAATGATTTTATAAAAATACTTGATATAAAAAGTATAGTAAAAAATGTAGTAAATTATCAGCCACATTGTCATCTTTTCAATAAGTTATTGTCTACACAATTCTAAGGAGTTTTTTTTTTAGAGTATTTTCTATTTTTTTTTTTTTTTTTTTTTTTTTTACTTAGCATATGCACTATATCCTGCATAAAATGTTCTTATATTTCACAGGAAAATGAGACCCAAAAGAGTTTCTCCTGAAAAGGAAGCCTTGTACTTCATTGCTTCGGGGAAAGATAAAGACACATTCGAGAAAAAATTAATGTGTGAAGAGAAAGGTAAGTTACGGCATTCAATTCTGCCATCAGTATGACTTTGCAAAACTTAATTAAAAGCTAAGTTTGGTCTCTAAATAATGTCGAATGGTTGGGTTTAAAATGTGTAGCTAAAAACAACAGGCTGTTAAAAAAAAACACAAGAGAAACAAAAAAACATGATTGAATCAGTTAAAGGTGGATTTATATCTGTTTTCCTGCCTGTATTTATGCTAGCTGCTGATGTCCAAATTAAACTCCATTGTGTAGATGTGCGAGTGATCTTGATATTATTTGTATGTAACTGCCAGTTAGACTCCGGGGGCCTGTTTAACAATGGAAATTATCAATATTCAGTGTCATGATACATATGAGTTTTGTAGTTTTGCACTTTTAGATGTAGATATCGTATTTGTTTTCCAAGCAGGGCTACCATTTAAAACAGTTTAGACAACCTTAACAACTTTATGAATCTTTTCTCATACTTAATTTACACTTATTTATACCCAATTTATTAGGTTTTGGAGTAATCGCCACAAAACATATTGAGCCAGGAGAATTCCTACTGGAGTATGTTGGAAGACACATGGCTGGATCTGAAGGAGAGACCCTGCTCAAAGACTACTCAGCTGAAGATGCAGTTTTTTTATATTTCTACTCCTTTCAGGGACAATCTTACTGGTAAGATTAAATTAATGAATGTTCTAATGAAGTATAATTACATCATATTATGGTATGTTTATATACAGTGTTTTTAAAATATTTCACCATACAGTGTTGATGGCAGTAAAGCTACAGAAAATCTCGGACGATACATAAATGATGACCACATCAAGCCAAACAGCAAAATTAAAATAGTAAGTCTGTATTTAATGTTTTCGTATTGTTTGTCTTATTCTTTGTTTTAATTACTCCTTTTATAGAGCCTCATCTTGATTGTAGCATTATTTGACATTACAAACTAGACAGTTGTGGGTCTTTCAAATGTTGTTGTTTTTGTTTTCAAATGTGTGTTTGTGTACTTTTGTGACCAACAGATAATGGATGAAAAGAAAATGCCACATTTGTGTGTATTTGCGTTAACAAAAATCAAGCCAATCATACCAAAGAAAAAATCATACCAAAGCCTATGGACTAGTATGCAGGAGTGATCCAGCTCTCAGATTTCATAAAAAATATCTTAATTTGTGTTCGGAAGATGAATTAATGTCTTACGGGGTTGAACAACATGAGGGTGAGTAAATACTGACAGAATTTTCATTTTTGGGTGAACTAACCCTTTAAATGCTTTGCTTAAGTTGATGAAGACCTCCACTGTGTATTGCTTTATCCTCAGTTGCAGATGTAATTTTTCCTATGAGTTCAATTAATGCCAAAGCAGTTAATCTTTTTTATCTCTAAAGCCATATTGTTTTTCATTAAATAATTTGTGTTTTTCTAAAAAAAAAAATTAATTTTTGAGCAAACAACTTTTCAAGGATTTTAGAAAACCGAGAGAGCAATGACACTGGTCTGTAGTTGTTAAAGTGTAGTTATACATTTCTCCCAGCCCTGCAAATCTGGTCCTCTAGTTATAAAGGAGCCCAAAACCCTTTAAAATCAGCAACAGACCAGTCTGACCAGTTAGACAGTCTATCTCAAACCAATAGACTATCTAGTTTAAGCCCCCCCCCCTTTCTAATAGATTGATCAGATAGCGCCCCTTTAATCTTTTCTATTTTACCTGTTCATAATCATTTTTGCATGAATTGAAACGCATGATTGTTCATGATTTTCATGCATGATTTAAATTGTATTATATTACATTATTATTATTCATGTATTTAATTTTATTCATGTATTTAAATGTATATATGTAAATGTAATGTGTTTGAAAATACACAATAAACCTTGAGCAGTTAAAGCTTCAATTGTTCTTTTTTCTATTTCCTATAGTGCTACTGTGCAACCTGTAGAATATGTAGAAAATCCATAGAAATATTATTTTAACTGTTAAATAATACTCTATTTCTACGGATTTTCTACATATTCTACAGGTTACACAGTAGCACCAAATAAATACAATAACATTTCATAACTGTATAATACTATACAGTATTATTAAAAATTAACAGTGTAATACTGTACTTTAATATGGTAAGAAATTACAGTAAAATAATGTTATTTGATTTTACAGTATGCTTAACAGTACTGTAGTTAGTGTTAAAGTAATTTTATTGTTGAATGAAATACAGCAAGTACTGGATAATTGTTGCCAGTAAGTTACTGTTAATTTGACAAGACATTTTTTTACAGTGTATTTTATACAGAATATAAAAAAAGGATAAAACATAATGGACAGATGTGTTGGGAAATGGCAGTTGTATTAACAATATGGCATTAAAATATATTTTGAGCCACCAATCCTACTCCTACCCCTAAACCTACCCCTAACAATTCGTTAAAACTACGTAAACTAACGTTACAATTATGAAGAAAAACGTGACTAACAGAAAAGTATAATCACAATAATATATTTATTGCGAAAATGTCAAAACCGCTACCAAAAGCCGTTCACATGAAGATGCTTTGCAGTCGCAGTCCTCTCTGGCAACATTGTAATAGTTTTGTATGAAGTACAGAGCAGAATTTAAATTAATAATCAATGAAAATGTTCATCCGGCTTCAGTTCGCAGCTTCGCACTATTTCAAAAGAACTAAACCAACCGTCACAGTCCTTCATGTCTCAATCTGTGATGAGGCAGGGAAGAGCCAATGACCATTTGATATCTCTGCCGTAAAACACGACGTATCGCTTCTCAAGGGCGCGATTTTTGAATTTGAATTCATCACCAGCGCGGGATTTGACGTGTACGGTTGCTGCTGAGAATGGAGGCGAAGATCACGACTGGATAAAAGGTTGAATTAGGATTTTTTTTCTTGTAAACAACGTAGGCTATGGATTCTAAAGATTTGGATTACATCAAACTAATAAAATTGATGTCTTTTGTGAATTTATGTTTTGTTTTATAGGAGAAAACACTTTCTGTGCCTCACGGCAAATAAACTATATTACAAAATGGTTAAACGAGTAAAGTTAAAGAATGTATTTTTAAGGTTTTATAGTGTATTGTTTAACACCATGCAGGCGAAACGAGCAAAATGTTAATATTTATGAGTATTATATCAATAAATGAGACTGAAAACGTAATGAATAAGACAGTTGAATGCAATAGAGTCAAAACATAATGCTACGATTTTAATATGCATAAATTGTGATATGTACAAATGTGTACATCGGTGGATTTGTTCAAATGTAAATAAATTACGTTTTTGTGCTGTCAATAACGTAAATATTTTACATTTTAGTTCTGTAAATACGTCAGTATTATACGTTTCTGCGCATATAAAACGTAATTATATGTACGTATGATAGAACTACACTTTACGTACAAATGCATACGTATTCTCATGAGATCACATTGGATTTTAGTCGACTAAAATATAATGGGTTTAGTTAAATTGTAATGCGTTAATTTAGAATTTAGAATAGAATAAAATGTACAAACCCATACACTCCCGAAGAAAACATCTATTAACCTATTAATATAAATGATTTAAAAGTCTGAACATGCAATACAGATACGGATTTAACTACTGTGATTTAAAAAATATCTTAAAATTAAATAAAAACCACTTTTCCTAAAGTACAACACAGCCTTTTCAATGGATGATATACAGTATGCATTCTTTATAACCATGCATACATCCTTCTTTATTCTTTCAAGCAGAAATATTCTTTGTGTAAATTAAATATAATTAATCCTTATTATACTAAAGCTATTAACAAACTGTGATTGCTTTTCTCTTTTTCTTTGGTTGCTTGATCAATATTAAGGACACAGACCACATTATGTTTGTTGCCACTTTCACTTTAAGACGTCGGATTATTTCCAATGACATGCGGATCCAATTGCACTGATGCACATCCGATACACTCACAACTGTTTAAGACATAACCGACATAATTTACATGAATACTGTCCAAAGCGGACATTTAAAGCACTCAATAACCTTGCCCCTTCATATTTATTGGACCTTCTTAATATCTATATTCGATCTCGGACTTTAAGATCGTCTTCCTCGCTCACTCTTGTTCTCCCTAGAACCCGCACTACTTCTATGGGGTCCCGGGCTTTTAGTTTTGCAGCTCCTTATTTATGGAACCTGCTGCCACAGGATGTGCGAAACAGTGAAAGTATTCATGTTTTTAAATCTTGCCTTAAGACCCATCTTTTCCGGCAGGCTTTTATGTTTTATGTGATTTTTATATATATATATGTGTGTGTGTGTTAGGGCTGGGCAAAAAAAAATGATTTTTCGATTAATCGGTTTTTAAAATGTGGCCGATTCAAAATCAATTCTCAACGGCCTCGAATCGATTTTTTCCATATAAAGGGCTCGCGGACGCGGTGCGGCGTCTTCTCGTCTCACTGCACTAGGCAAGCACTAAGCTAGGGCTGAAACGATTCCTCGAGTTACTCGATTACAAAAATTCCTTGAGGCAAAAAATCTGCCTCGAAGCCTCGTTAAATGACGCAGTTCCTATGGCGCACGCAGGGATCTGATTGTTTCACACGGACCGTTATTCAGGAAGCACACCACAGCGCATGATACATATGACTTCATAAATTGCAGAGAATGTCTAAAGTTTGGGATCATTATATGTTTATAAAGGGAGAGAACAAGATGCAATGTGTCTGCAAAGTATACCTGGCAGGGCTGCCAACTCTCACGCATTCAGCGTGAGACTCGCGCAATTCGATTTTTCACGCTGCGTGTATATCCCTTCGGTCAAATGCCTGAAAGATGAGTTCGTCTATAGATCTACCTGTTGAGCCACTCGTGATCGACTAGTTTTACCGCCGCATATTAATTCGCAAGTTAAAATATCCTGTAATCTAGTGCGAGCGCGCATGCGAGATGTTGAGCTCCTAACCGCGGCTCGCGCACGACGGCAGAGAGGTAAGCGAGCGCGTGCACCCATGTCTCTCTCACGCGCCAGTCAGACCAATTGCGGCAATTCATCATATGCTTAAACTTTTATGTAGCCACGCAACAAAAATTTCAGCATACATTCACCGGGACGTGATGGAGGAACAAATATTGTGAGACACACAGACACACACACTCTGATGTTTGTCTTGAGATTACAGTTGAAAAAGTCTGATTCTTATTTATAATTGTTTTATTTCCATTTATTTATTTTTTATAAATTGTACACATTTGTGTACCTGTTTGGGTTGATATTTTATATTAATATATTTTTGTTTCCAGGTGGGTAATTTGCAGAAGGTGCAATCCTTTTTTTGTAATGTTGTATTAAGAAGACAAAACTAAGGCCAAATGGGCTTTACTATTTAAGTTTGTATTCAAAGTTTTACATGTTATGGGCTACATGTAACAGGTTTTACAGTAAATTGTTTTAACTGTATTGTTATATAATTGTTGGCACTGGCACTTATAAACACGGGTAAAAATTGCAATAATTAGTTGTGGAGCCAAATGTTGCAGTTGGAATAAATACCTCTATTTTCTTTTAAATAAATAAAAGCCAAACACCTTATCATTTTCGTAATACATTATTTGTTTTGGTTGCTTAAAAACACACATAAACAAATTATCCGATTACTCGATTAATCGATCGATTAAGTGCTAGATTAATCGATTACAAAAAGAATTGATAGCTGCAGCCCTACACTAAGCGCTGCAGCTGTCGATACACACTCGCGTTTAGGAGTCGGGACACGACGAAATATTCACTTGCACAATCGGGCCAGCATTGCATCGTAACCTATGATGGTAACTAACGTTTATAATTTTCACGTCTTTTTAAGTTTTAGTTTAAACATTCAAGCAATATTAAACCATCCCGTGCTCGCGCACTCTCAGAGATGTCTTTCACTGCGTGCACATACAGTAAAGCCAATCCGCCTCAAACAGCTCGCCTGAAACAAACGTTTTATCCCTGGATTATATCGCTTTAACAGTTAAAAACACGCGACATTATGTCAAAACTCTGGTATTGGTGAGTAACCTCGTAAAGACAGTCTAATGTCTTAAATAAGCATTAAACGCGTGTGACAGACAGACAGTACAAATGAGACAGGGATCCGTTCTTAAAGTGAACGCAGCCATATGTGTCTGTCATTAATTCTGT